ATTATCAAACTCATAATGTAAATAGACAAACTATAAACTTATAACTTATATTTCATCTTCGAAGGACTTAGACAAATAGACTTAGTATGAACTAGGTTATTCTCACTACAGAAGTTAAACCCTTAATCTAACCGTTGAATTTAATTTTCTATCTATTATGATACTATCCTCCAAATTATAGCTCAATCTAACGGTGAATGAACTTTAAAATGCTAATTTACTATTCAAGACTCTATTTGCTAAATCCCAAAGATATAAGTTAAAAACGTACCTAATAACTTGTAACTCGGAGAAAAAATGATGATCCAACCATTGAAATTAACGATTTGGATGTCCCAAATGGACTGACCAAATGTCAGTCCGATCCAACAGTTAATAGACTCAAAACTAGCACTTTTCTGAGACTACCTCAGATATGTGCGGAAATTATTTACTCACTTCAAGTTCCACTCACTATCTCCTATATATAGGCTCTTCAAACTCCTTCACTCTAAAGATTAGTCGATGTGGGACTTCTATACCATGGTATAATTTTCTAGAATACCATCCACACACACACACACACACACACACAATTTATTAAAATAATAATAATAATTTGCCTATATCTAACCTTTTTTTTATTAACTTAATACTAAAATATATTTATTTATAAATTTAATTAAATACTAGATAAAAATAAGGATGTTACACTGAACATATATTTTTTTTATATTTCCATTGATATATCTATATTTGTTGAGATTTAATAATTGTCCCACTTGACACCTCACGAGCACATGTTAGTATGTATGAGGAGTTGAAAATCTGGTTATTGAGACGTTTGTCTCACCCTGTGATTTCTACTATCTTTAGGTGATAGTTCGGGTAGTGGTCCATCAGGGAAGGTTCTGGAGGCATAGTGACTGGCATAGCTTGTATAGTCTCCCTACTTTTTATAATATGTTGCCACATAAGGCTCAACTACTTTAATGTTGTAAACTAATACTTTTAATTAATACTATCTGATATCGGGGATTGTTACAAGAACAAAGGTCTTTTGAAAGTATTGACTTTTGACTAATAGGTATCGTAGCTTATATTAAAATGATTTGTTAGTTTGTATGTTTGAAAATATGAATTTGGTTTGGCTTAATAAATTAATGATATTTTTGGACTTTGGAAGTTCAAGGCCCAAGTTAATGATTGATATTACTCGTAATATAAGTTTATTTCTCTTAACCATGATAGTAACTTTATAATTTTAAGGTTTTTTTTTTCTTTTCTATCATGGTCAATTTTTTGAATAAATTATTTGATTTAATCTAAATGGTTTTTTGGAAGAATGGTCATCACAGAGACTATGGTGACAACAAAGACTCTTGTTACCAGAATAGCACCGACAGTGAAGGCACTCCATATTAGAATACTAGTGAAGGTGAAGGCTCTTCTTACAGGAACAACGACGACAACAAATGATCTCTCTCAACATAATAGCAGATTTTTTAGAGAGTGAGAGAGAAAAGAGCTTGAGTTTTGATATTTTTAAGAGAGAGGGGGAAGAGCTTCAAGGTCACAATTGTGAGGGGTAAGAATATCTTTTCCTTTCTTAAATTAATTATTTCAGTTTGCTCTTTTGGTCTTGCAGTGACATTTCAGAATATTTTAGGGCCTATTTGAAATCAATTGTTTATTGTGATCCTTAATTAAAATTTTCCCAATATATTATTGCATTTCTCTCCGCATAAAACGTTGCATATCGGGAAAACTTTTAATTTTATCCAAAAAAAGGAAAATATTTAATTTTAAATTAAAATTCTTCAATTTTCATTGATATATATATATATATATATATATATGAGGAACAACAAATCAAACCGGACAGTATCAGTGGATCAGATCAGGGTTAACTCGGGATCAAATTGATCATATTAAAATAATATATTTAATTAAAAGGGAAAATTAATCTTTTGATCCCTATAATTTTCACTCATTTGTAACTTAGTCCCTATATTTTGACTTGGTGCAACTCAGTCCTTTTAGTTTTGACTCGATTGTAACTCAGTCCTTGAAGTTTGACTCGCTGCAACTCGGTCCCTACAATTTTCACCATTTTATAATTTAGTCTTTGTGTTTTTGAAAAATAAAATTATATATCTAATAAAAGGAGGGACTAAATTATAAAATGGTTAAAATTATAGGGACCGAGTTGCAGCGAGTCAAACTTCAAGAACTGAGTTGCACCGGGTCAAAGTATAGGGACTGAGTTACAAATGAGTGAAAACTATAGAGACCAAAAGATTAATTTTTCCTAATTAAAAATAACAAAAGACAATAACATTAATAATCACTAGTAATAAAATACAAGGAAATACAACAATAATTTGATTTTAACAATAACAAAGTATAACAACATCGAGAATATTCATCTTTATAATTTCTCAATAACTAAAATTAATAGTCATTAATACCAAAATCATCATTAAAGTTCATTCAAATATATATTGACTGAGATATTAGAAGCTGAATAAGGAAAAATAAAACCAATAACAATATAATCATTCAAACCGGTTCACATCGGTTTTCACCACTTCACCCTTTTTTTTTTTTTTACCATTTTAGTCGGGTGGATACTTGTCAACCAGTTTAGCACTTAAACCAAACCGAACTATAGGCTGATTGGCTTGTTTTCTAGTTAAACCGGTTGATTCAGTCTGGTTTTTTATTCATTGGATGTGTGTGTGTATAATCAGAGCGTTATACCAATGGGTGTAGTGAAGGGGATAGATGGCTAGTTTCTTATAATATAGTGAACTAAAGTTTGAATCTTTATTAATAGAAATGTCCACGTCTAATATTTAATAGTATCTCAAGCAAGCCTTTAATAGGAAGATAATTGTGCTTAATAATAACAATGAAAAGGAGGACTATTGTTCACATGTCGGTGGACAGGACACGTGTGAAGTTTGAACAGTGCCCGAAAGCATGAGGTCCCAAGTTCCAATTCGTGTTAATATAGAGAGTATTTTTAGGAGAGTTACTTCTAATGGGTCCGACAATGTTCGAGTATAACTCATTTAGATAGCCATGTATATGTCTATATATAAAGGGATAAACCTACCTTAGTTATTTTAAGTAAAAGATCTTTACCTTTTTTTTTTTTTTGACCGGAAAAGATCTTTACCTATTTCTACCTTCGTTTTTCTGTTTTATATGAAATATCGTCTCAAAGTTTTGTTATTTCTATTTACATGATATTTTACAAAGTCTTTAGAGTAACTAATATATTTTTCCAAATTAAAAAACCCCTGGTAAATGACTGGAGAGAGAGGAATTTAGATAGAAATGAGTATTTGATTAAGAGTATTTTTATGAAAAAAAGTAATGTTTCGGTCTTTTAACTTTAAACCCACTCGTAACTTAGTCCATTGACCATGACTCAGAGCAACTCAATTCCTGAACTTTTAACTTGCTCATAACTCAATCACTAATCTTTATACATCTAATAATTTAATCCGTGTCTTGTGTAAATTATATTGAGTCGTCCATTAATTATCTTAACGTGGCGAAAAAATTACTTAACACCTTCCAAGTTGGCAAAAGGAGGAAAAAGGTCATCACGCAGCGTCTCCCCACTATGCTTCTCTCCCACCGAGTTCAGCTGATGCCATGCGGTGTGCACCCTAAGCTCCCTCAATTGAGTTTCTAAAACACCAATTCAACTTTTTCCTCTTTGTATTCACAGTTGGGTTGTTGAAATTTTCTTCTTTGTTTGGGTGGGTCTGTTATTCATTCACAAAAGCTTAGCTATGCTCTGTTCTGCCCGTCTATATTATTTTATTTGATTCAATTCCAAATCAACATTTTACTACACAGGAGGTCTATCTCACATTTCAATTTTGCAGCCTGTTTCTTAAAACTAATAACCTTTCTGAGTGATTGGAAACCTTGAAGATTATATTGAGTTCTCTTTTAAGTTTTTCTGGCATCTAAAATTTTACTTCATTTTTGTCATTATGCTCTGTATTGAGGTAAAATGATTATCATTTTCCAATGTCTCGGATTATTCACCTGAACATGCAAGTTTCAACTTCTAAACAGTGCTTCAATCTTAAAATTCCTTCTTTCTTGACTCTCGTTTTGGCTTTTTCTCCCCATTTATCAAAGCTTAGCTTTGCCCTCTTATGTCTATTTTCAATTTTCTCTGTTCAAGATCATCTAATAACTTGAAGAACATAATTCTCTATTTCAAATTTTCATTTAATATCAAAACATCATATTTGAACGTGCGAACAATATTCGACCCTAAAAATCCCATCTTCCTTGGTGCTCCTTACTGGGTCTATCCATCCATGAAAGATTGACCCTTACCCGGTTTTCTCAGCACCTTCCAATTTGCCTTCTACTAGAACAGTGAAAGCCCTCATGAAAGTAGAAGCCTTTGCACTAAGAGCTGAGATCTTAAGTTTTTCAGCAATCAGTTTCGCCGTCTTCACAGCAAGAGGTTGCAATATAGCATCCGTTTCAACCCTTGCCACTGGAGGAGATGGGCAGCTTGCTTTGTTCAAGCTACTTAGGGAAGGCATAAGATAATTAATTGATGATTCAATATGATTTATAGGGTAGACCACCCTCATCTTATTTTCCAGATATATCTAGCACCTCAATCTTTTCTATGATGTATCCAGCATTTTGATTTTATCTTTTTGTTGTGTCCAACACCATGATGTTATTGTTTTTGTTGATCTTATAAGCCTCCTATAGAGAAACCACCAGTCTACAAGTCTCCTATTTATAAACCCCCATTTTACAAACCACCCATTTACAAGCCTCCTATAGAAAAGCCGCCAGTCTATAAGCCTCCTGATAGCTTTAGCATGTACACGTTTGACTTGGCATTAACTGTTAAGAAAAATCATTAATAAGATAGATAGACTACTCGTGAGTCACTAGTGGGAGAGTTGCTGCGCTTTTTTCAGTATAAAATCTATTCAACTGCATCATTGCCACGCCATGTTATCATGGCTTCCTTGTTCCTTTTCGTATTGCTCTTTGCACCTTTTAACCCTTTGGCGTTTGCCCAATTCTTGCCTCCTGTACAGAAGCCTCCTGTCTATGAACCGCCTATATACAAGCCTCCTATAGAGAAGCCGCCAACCTATGAGCCTCCGATTTACAAGCCCCCAGTAGAAAAGCCACCCATTTATAAGCCTCCCATAGAGAAGCCTCCGGTCTATGAACCTCCAATTTACAAGCCTCCAATTGAAAAACCACCAATTGACAAGCCACCAATCTCTAAACCTCCCATAGAGAAGCCACCAATCTACAAGCCTCCTATTTATAAACCCTCAGTTTACAAACCAGATTTACAAGCCTCGCTTAGAAAAGCCACCAATATACAAGCTTCCTATTTACAAGCCCCCAGTTTACAAACCACCAATTTACAAGCCTCCCATAGAGAAACCACCAGTCTACAAGTCTCATATTTATAAACCCCCATTTTACAGATCACCCTAGTCTTTAGAGTGCTTGATATGCAACTAAAACAATAATATCAGGATGATGGACACATCAAAAAATAAGATCAAGCTACTGGATGTATCACAAAAAATAAAAATAAAAATATTGGATGAACTTGAAAAATAAAATGATGCACATTAACCCTAATTTATATATGATAAATATTAAATTATCAAATGTGGGAAGAAGATTATGGATTGAGACGCAAGCGGGTTAAAAGTTCAATGATTAAGTTGCATTGAGACATAGTTGAGGGATTGAGTTATAAGTAGGTTTAGAGTTAAAGGCCAAAAGATCACTTTTCCCTTTTAAAAAAGATGAGATAATTTTTAAAGACATAAGCTAATTTTAGTTAATTTTTATGGTATGTGTAAATACAAATAGATAACCATGTCTCATAAAAAAGAAATAGAGATCACTTTTATATGTGTCGATGTTTTGAATTGAAATTAAATATACTTGACTTTTCTTACTCCCTCCAATCCTATAGATAGGATTAAGGTACAAAAAACATAACTTTTTTTTAAAAAAAACACTTTGATTTTTTAAAATTGGGTAAAGACAATAAATATATAAAAAAATAATTTCTCTGATTTATAAGGAAAGAATGAGTAGGAAAAAGGTGAAAGAGAGAGAGCATGTATGGTTAATTAATGAAATCATATAATATGCAATACGTAAGGGCCAAAATGAAAAAGAAAAAAAAAAGTTGATTAACATTTCAAAATTTTTTTAAGTGTATTTTTTTTTTTTTGCCAAAAAATTTTAAGTGTATCTTATAAATAAAATTATGTTTACCCTAATTATATTCTCTCTTATCCATAATATGAGTTACTTCTAGAAAAAAAATTTGGTCTACAATATAAATCAATTTGAGAGTAATGAATGTTTATTTGTCAAATTTGTTCCTACTATTAATACTTAAATATAGTTCTTTGTAGTTTTCTCTTTAATTTATTCATAGCCTCATGTAATATGGGTAAAGTTGAAAAAAAATACAATTTGAGACATGTTTAATGAGTTAATTATTCCTCCAGTCATTAATATAAGACCTATTAACTAATTTGATTAGATTAAGGAAGTTACGTAAGTTAGTTAATTATAAGAAACATAACATGTTTTTTTTAAAACATTATAATCATTTTCCTTAATATCATTTCTCCTTTACTTACTTGATTATGGTTGAGGGAGTATCCATAGGGATAATTTAGAAAAAATTGATAAATATGAGAAATAGGTCTTATATTTAGGACTAAAATTAACTTAACAACTAGATCCTATATTAAGGACTAAGGGAGTATCTTTTTTTTCAGTTCTAATAAATTAATTAGTGAGTTAAATTGTGAACCAAACAAAATATCTTATACATAGGATAGTAGAGGGCACCACATGTTAGGCCTAATAAGACCCGTGATTTTGATTTTGAAGAATCATAAATGTGACCGTTGGCAATCCTTGTACCTCAACTAAATAAAACGGCATTTAAATGAGTGATAGCTTTAGCATGTACACGTTTGACTTGGCATTAACTGTTAACTAAAACCATTAATAAGATAGATAGCCTACTCGTGAGTCACTAGTGGGACAGTTGCTGCGCTTTTTTCAGTATAAAATCTATTCAACTGCATCATTGCAACGCCATCTTATCATGGCTTCCTTGTTCCTTTTCGTATTGCTCTTTGCACTTTTCAACCCTTTGGCGTTTGCCCATTTCTTGCCTCCTACACAGAAGCCTCCTGTTTATGAACCGCCTATATACAAGCCTCCTATAGAGAAGCCGCCAACCTATGAGCCTCCGATTTACAAGCCCCCAGTAGAAAAACCACCCATTTATAAGCCTCCCATAGAGAAGCCTCCAGTCTATGAACCACCAATTTACAAGCCTCCAATTGAAAAACCACCAATTTATAAGCCTCCAATTGAAAAACCACCAATTTACAAGCCACCAATCTATAAACCTCCCATAGAGAAGCCACCAATCTACAAGCCTCCTATTTATAAGCCTCCAATTTACAAACCACCGATTTACAAGCCTCCCTTAGAAAAGCCACCAATATACAAGCCTCCTATTTACAAGCCCCCAGTTTACAAACCACCAATTTACAAGCCTCCCATAGAGAAACCGCCAGTTTACAAGCCTCCTATTTATAAACCCCCATTTTACAAACCACCCATTTACAAGCCTCCTATAGAAAAGCCGCCAGTCTATAAGCCTCCTATAGAGAAGCCACCAATCTATGAGCCTCCTATTTACAAACCCCCAATTTACAAACCACCAATTTACAAGCCTCCCTTAGAGAAACCACCAATCTACAAGCCCCCAATTTTTAAACCGCCCATTTACAAGCCTCCCATAGAAAAGCCACCAATCTACAAGCCTCCACTTGAGAAACCTCCAATTTACAAGCCACCCATCTACAAACCTCCAATTGAAAAGCCACCAGTTTATGAGCCTCCTATTTACAAGCCACCGATTGAACCTCCAATTTACAAACCCCCAATAGAAAAACCTCCAATCTATGAGCCACCAATTTACACGCCCCCAATAGAAAAGCCACCAATTTATGAGCCACCTAATTAGAAATCCCTACTTGACAAGTTGCCTATACACAAGTTTCCGCATATCCACATACTTGCTATTTAAAATCCACTTTGGCGTCACCCATGAATTTACAAGCATCCATGTAAAATAATAATATGTGGTCTTCACGAGCTCAACTCTCAACTTGGACATATCAATGGCTTAGAATACTTTCGACTTAGAGGTGTTGTTATTATTATTATTATTACCATATGCTTGGCACTTCGCATCTTTATGCTATAAAGTGTGGAACGAGTTTATGAATTTGAGCATGCCGAGTGATGTAGCAGGAGTGAGCGCGTGAGAGGCAATTTGTTTTCGTTTTATATAACAAGCTTTTAGATTGCATATTATGTCTTATATATAAATGTAGCTTTTGTCATTTATTAAGTCCTTTCAATTGATATGCACAACTAGAACGAGTCTTGAAAATCTGCGACGGATATACTAATGCTGATAATTCTATCGAAAAGAATCCATCACACAAAATCCGTCGCTTCACTATCATGTTTGATATCCACAAAAAAAAAACAACTGTTAGAAAATAACAGAGCAGGTAGAGACTAAACTTACCGCGTTCAGAACCTGGTTGATCAGCTATCATTGTGCACTTATGCTGGGGTTATATAGACTGAGATTGAACCTATAGTCGCACATTAGAGAACTTATGACTCCCCCAAATGGTTAACCCCATAACTGATGAAGGGAGCCTCCTATTTATACAAGAGGTAGGGGAGTATTTTAATATTAAAATATCCACCACTTAATATATCCATCATTTGGTTGTGAATGGCTTGTTACATTGCAATCTCTCTGTTAGCCACAATACTAAACTAGCCCAATAAGCCCAACAAATAAACCAAAGCCCAATTCAATACTCAGTACAGCTAGCCCTATATTCTAGATCATTCCATTGTAGCACGTTTTCCTTTTCTGTCTCTCAGGATTTTGCCTATATAAGAAATGGTGAATTACTTTACACAGTCAAGTAAATACAGAATACAATGTTATCCTTAATATTTATCTCTTATGCTGTTATGCTCTGAAATGGTATCAGAGCGACTGCGTTTCCGCCACCATGACTGAGTCCTCTTCATCCACCACAACCACTCCCTCATCCTCTTCTATCACCCCTACCATTTTCCCTTCTAATGCCTCACATTACATCTCTATCAAGCTCACACCAGACAACTACCTTGTCTGGCGTGCACAGCTGCTCCCTTATCTCTATGGCCAACGATTATTTTGCTACATCGATGGTTCTAACCCCTCACCTCAACCCAAGGTTGCTGATGGCTCACCTAATCCTGAGTATATCAAATGGTTCGAAATGGACCAACTGGTTATGTCTATACTTATCTCTTCCTTATCAGAGAAACTCATAGCACAAGTAATGCGACACAAAACATCTCGAGCTGTTTGGCTTGCTTTGGAGACGTCCTTCGCTCAACAGTCTCAGGCCAAAATATTACATCTCCAACAACAACTCACATCCCTCAAAAAGGGAGGAGAAAGCATCCTTGAATATTACAACAAAGCGTTGATGATTGCTGATTCACTAGCTGCCTCTGGAAGCCCCATCTCTGATTCTGCATTCAACACATACCTTCTTGCTGGACTGGGAACTGATTATGACTCTGTAGTTACTATGTTAACTACATTGAAGGCTCAATATACTCCATAAGATGTCCTCAGTCATCTCCTTACTTATGAAGCGAGACAGAAAAATAATTTTGCCGACACAACAGCCCCTGTGCTTCCCACTCCAGCAGCACATTTCACTGTTCATCAACCTTCATCTTCTCAAGGTCGCCGTGGTGGTTGTGGGTTGTTTTCCAGAGGCTGCATTGGACGTGTTTTTAACAGTGGGGGTCACTCACCTTTCCGAGGTGGTCGCTCAAACAGAGGGAGTAGCAGATTCTTTGTTTCGGATCATGAACCAATTTGTCAAGTATGTGACAAACCTGGACATATAGGCAAAAACTGCTTTCACCGATACAACCATACCTACCAAAACCCAAGCCCTTCCAACTTTTCCACTCACTACTCTGCTCTTCCTTCTCAACCTGATGACACCTTGTGATATCCAGACACTAGAGCTACAAACCATATGACCTCACAATTAACCAATCTCGATCTTGGTTCTGCTCCCTATACTGGTCTTGACTCGGTTCGTGTTGGAAACGGAGCCCCACTGCCCATCCAAAACGTTGGCACCGGTCAACTTTCTCCCTCTTCTGGCAAATATCTCTTAACTCAACTTTTACATGTTCCCACTATTACAAAAAATCTTCTCTCGGTTGCTCAATTTTGTTTAGATAATAATGTGTTTTTTGAATTTTACTCTTCTCATTTTCTTGTGAAGGACTGTCGCACCAACAAAGTCCTACTCAGCGGTCCCTGCCACAATAGGCTCTACCCCATCTACACAGCCCTGTCATCCATTACCACTCCTTCCACTCACTATGGCGAACCCACTTCCATCACTCAATGGCACAACCGTCTCGGCCACCCTGCCTCCCGTATAGTTCAACGTGTCATTCATTCCAACTCTCTTCCAGTCTCCTCTTCTCACCGTCTGCACACCTGCCAGCTTGCTACACGTCTAAGAGTCACCGCCTTCCTTCTCCATCCTCCCCTCATCGTTCAACCACTCCTTTAAATTTAATTTTCTGTGATGTATGGGGTCCTTCCCCGGTTGTTTCTGTTGATGGTTTCAAGTATTATGTCTCCTTTGTTGATGACTTTTCTCGTTATATATGGCTGTTTCCCATCAAATCCAAAAGTGAAGTCTATGCCATTTTTCTTTCTTTCCACACACTTGTAGAAAATCTGTTTAATTCCAAAATTCGTTATTTTCAATCTGACTGGGGAGGAGAATTTCGTTCCTTACACACCATTTTTCCTTCACTTGGCATTTATCATCGCATCTCATGTCCGCACACACACACTCAAAATGGCACAGTAGAAAGGAAACACCGAGACATTGTTGAAAAAGGACTCACTCTAATGGCTCACGCACATGTTCCACAACCTTATTGGACCTTTGCTTTCGCCATTGCTGCCTACTTAATTAACCGTCTCCCAAGCTCAACCTTAAATAATCAGTGTCCCTATGAACGTCTTTATAAAATGAAACCTGATTATCATTTTCTCAAAGTTTTTGGATCATCTTGCTGGCCTAATCTCCGTCCTTACACCAAACATAAACTTGAGCCTCGGTCCACACACTGTGTTTTTCTTGGCTATTGCATTAATCATCTTGGTTATATTTGTTTGGATCTTACCACAGGAAAATTTTACAAATCACGGGATGTGGTCTTTGATGAATCCAGTTTTCCCTTTCAAAGCCTAACAACCTCAACTGAGCCCAATCCCACCTCCAACACGATATTACCCATACTTTCCCTCCCACCCACCGAACCCTTACACGGCCCAACCCAATATTATCTCACCTTAGCTCATCATCATCCTTGTCATCCTCCCAAGAGCTGTCTTCCCCTCTCTCTCCACACCACCTGCTCCTTCTGCCACGACCTCTGTACCGTCGCCTGCTCCACCTCCCCCACCCACCCATCCTATGGTTACCCGTGCACGAGCCCATATCTCCAAACCGAAGGTTCATACGGACAGTACGATTCCCTGGCCACCGCCGAAAGCTCTCTCTCCATCTCCTCGGTTGCAGTGCCCCGTTTGGTTGCAGAAGCTATTCGAGCTCTTGAATGGCTTCACGCCATGACTGAGGAATTTCAAGCCTTGCTCGATACTCAGACTTGGACTCTGGTCCCCCCATCTCCCTCTTAGAATGTCATAGGGTGCAAATGGATTTTCCAAATTAAATACTCTCCATCTGGATCGATTGACCGCTTCAAAGCTCGTCTCGTGGCCAAGGGCTTCCATCAACTAGAGGGTCTTGATTTCTCTGAGATGTTTTCTCCAGTTGTCAAGCCTATTACAGTTCGGACAATCCTTGCTCTTGCCGTGTCACGTGGCTGGGCACTTCAACAAATCGACATCCAAAATGCCTTTCTCCACGGCTTTCTTGATGAAGATGTTTTCATGTCTCAGCCGCCCGGTTTTAAACACCCATAATTTCCCCACTATGTTTGCAAACTCCACCGGTCCCTCTACGGCCTCAAACAGGCACCCAAAGCTTGGTTTTCAAGGTTACGTTCCTGTTTACTTGATCTTGGTTTTGTTGCATCACAATCTGATTCATCTCTGTTCATCTCCAACACTTCGGTTTGTCAAATTTATCTCCTAGTCTATGTAGATGACATTATAGTAACTGGATCGTCTACTGTTGCTATCTCTGAACTCTTGCAATGTTTGGGTTGCTCATTTCCCATTAAAGATTTAGGACCCCTGCACTAATTCCTTGGAATTGAGGTTGAACACCGTCCTGATGGTATTTTACTCACTCAATGAAAATACATTTTGGATCTCTTAACCCGGAAAAACATGCTTCATGCCCAACCAATGCCCACTCCAATGGCTATTAACTCTAAACTCACAGATACAGGACAGCCCTTCAAAGACCCCAGCTTCTACAGAAGCATTGTAGGTAACCTCCAATACCTGTCCTTCACTCGCCCAGACCTATCCTTTGCTATAAACAAAGTCTACCAATTTATGCAAAATCCTACTAAATCTCACTAGTCTGCTGTCAAACGGATTCTTAGGTATCTCTGTGGCACATCTAATTTTGGTTTATTTGTCCGTAAATCACCTCAATTAACATTATGCTTCACTGCTACATCGCTGGAAGCTTATTCTGACTCCGATTAGGGGGCGTTCTCAACATGATTCTAGGTCTACTGGTGGTTATGTGGTCTTTCTTGGTTCCAATATTATTTCATGGAGTTCTAAAAAGCAACCCACTGTTTCTTGGTCTAGCACTGAGGCTGAATACCGAGCTCTTGCCAATGCTACCAGTGAACTAATTTGGGTTCAAAATTTACTAGGGGAGCTCAACATTCATTTACCAGAGGCACCAATTCTGTACTATGACAACTTAGGAGCTACTTATTTGGCTGCCAATCCAGTGTTTCATTCTCGAGCAAAACACATTGCTCTTGATTATCACTTTGTTCGTGAACGCATTGCTGCCAAAACTCTTCGCATAGCCATTGTCTCCTCTCGTGATCAACTAGTAGATATTCTGACCAAGCCTTTAGTTGTAGATCGTTTTCAAAGACTCCGCTCGAGTCTCAATGTTCATTCTTCCCCATTGGACTCGAGGGGGCGTGTTAGCCACAATACTAAACTAGCCCAATAAGCCCAACAAATAAACCAAAGCCCAATTCAATACTCAGTACAACTAGCCCTATATTCTAGATCATTCCATTGTAGCACATTTTCCTTTTCTGTCTCTCAGGCTTTTGCCTATATAAGAAATGGTGAGTTACTGTAC